GGTGCTGGCAGTGCAGGGGCCTGGCAGTATGGTTGATGGGCTGCTTTGTTCTGGGAGGTCTTTTTACCTGTCATATTTCTCCTGCTCTGGCCTTGCATTTGCCTCTAAGGCTGCAAGGAAACACTACTCCTAGTTTGCCCTTTGCTTCCGCTCACCGGGAAATGCCCTCTCCCAGGCAGAGACCAACCCGTGTTTCTTGCAGCCTGCCCTCCCGCTAGCAGTGACCCCACCGAGCAGTTCTCTGCTCAGCTCCTCGAGCTAAGCCCAAGCCCTTCACGGCACCTTCTGACCTGATGATGTCCCTCTGGGAGCACTAAGCCAGGAGAAGGGATCCCAGCCCCTTGCAGAGCCCGGGCTTGGCTGGGGTGGGCTGCTGCAGCAGGGGCTGCTCCGGGAGAGCTAAGCATAGCACATTTCCCGCAGGTAGTGAAGATGTCTGGCAGTGACCCCGAACGCCCCCAGTTCCTCTTCGTGAAGGTGCTGGCAAGCCGGGGGCGGCTGGAGGCGGTGACCCAGCAGATGGGCTACCACCCTCAGTACCTCGACAGCTTCCTCAAGACGCAGCACTACCTGATGCACATGGACGGCCCGCTGCCCTTTGACTGCCGGCACTACATCGCCATCATGGTGAGCCCTGCTGGGAGCTGCCGGAGGGGAAAGGGGGGCTCTGCTCAGCCCCACGAGGCTCCCCGCTCTCCCTCCACCATACAGCCTGTGCCGTGGGCTTCTCTGCAGAGACCAAAATCATGGAGGTTGGGGGAGAGGTGGGCATGGGATCCCAGGACCTGTCCTGCCGGCATGGTGCTGGGATGCTGACGTGATGCTCTTGCAGGCAGCTGCCCGGCACCAGTGCCGGTACCTGGTGAACCTGCATGTCCTGCAGTTCCTGCGGGCAGGGGGGGATCCCCAGTGGCTGCGTGGCCTTGACTTCATTCCCCCCAAACTCCGCAACCTCAATGAGATCAACAAGATCCTGGCACACCGGCCATGGCTCATCACCAAGGAGCACATTGAGGTATTATTGGGGGGGGCAGAGCTATCAGCCAGGCACCAGGGTGGCGGCGAGGACAGCAGCATCCCCAGGGGATGCCGGCACCCTGCCCGTCTGCCCATGTCGCATCGCTGGTCTGCCTGTGTCCTGTAGAAGCTGCTGAAAATCAGCGAGTGGAGCTGGTCGCTGGCAGAGCTGGTGCATGCCGTCGTCCTCCTGGCGCACTGCCATGCGCTCACCAGCTTCGTCTTTGGCTGCGGCTGCGAGCAGGACGAGGGGCCAGGAGGCCGAGGCTCGCTGAAGCCCTTGTCACCTGGGAACCAGTGCTTCTGCGAAGCCACTGCCGGCAATGGCTGCAGCCAGGAGCTGCTGCGCATCAACCGCAAACGGGTGAGCACCCGAGGGTGGGTCAACAGGGGGACGGGGAGCGTGGCTGGGACTGCTGCCCTCACCCCCAAGCCTGTGTCTCTGCAGTCCCTGGATTCCTGCATGGAGCTGGACTCTCTCCGGGAACGCATGCAGCGGATCCACGTGGAGACTGAGGGCAGGGAGGAGATGAGGTTGCTGCAGCAGGACCGAGAGGAAGGTGAGGGGCAGGGAGTGGAGGTGGTGTGCAGGATGGGAGTTCGTATGGCATACCTGGGTGTTGCTCCAGCATGTCTATGCCTACATTTTCCGTGATGTACAGTTCGGAGAGGGGCTCCTGGGATGCTGGCAGGAGGGGAAGGCAGCAGTGGCACTTCCCAAAGAGGCACAGCAAGGCCCCGCTTTTGATGCCTGGTGTGGCTGGGAACAGGGCAGCGGAGGTGGTGTGCAGGATGGGAGTTCGTATGGCATACCTGGGTGTTGCTCCAGCATGTCTATGCCTACATTTTCCGTGATGTACAGTTCGGAGAGGGGCTCCTGGGATGCTGGCAGGAGGGGAAGGCAGCAGTGGCACTTCCCAAAGAGGCACAGCAAGGCCCCGCTTTTGATGCCTGGTGTGGCTGGGAACAGGGCAGCTGAGCATTGCTCTGACCCGTGTGTGGGGCTCTCCCCTCTTGCAGATACCGATGGGGAAGTCACCGGTGCCACCAACCTTGCGTGCTACATGCAGGACCCTGACTTTGGATACCAGGACTTTGCCCGGCGTGATGAGGATCAGGCACAGGTATTCAGAGTCCAGGTAAGGTTCCTGCTGTCTCGGTGGGCAGCAGCCTGGGCTGCCACCTCTCCTCTCTGCTCTGCTGCTGGTGGGGGTGGACAGTCGCAGGGGTGCCTGTGCAGCCCAGATCTGGCGCAGCTGCCTTTGCCAAGTGCCCAAGTGGGGAAGCTCAGCTCTGACCTGCCCCACTAGGGTTGGGGAGAGGGAGGTGACTGGTGACTTCTGTGTCCAAGGGCTCCCGGTTTCTTCACATCACCCTCACAGAGGCAAGGGTCAAAATCGTTCAAAAGCTGCCTGGTGAGGGATGTTGTGGTTTGTGGCAGAGCTGCCCCTAGAGCAAACCTATTGAATTCTGCTGCATCCTGAGGTCTCCACACCTTCTTCCTGGCAACATGCCCCGGGCTCGTTTTTGCAGTTGCAAAAGCCTCTTGCTGTGCTCAACAGGATTACTCCTGGGAAGACCATGGCTTCTCGCTGGTCAACCGGCTCTACTCTGACATTGGGCATCTCCTGGACGAGAAGTTTCGGATGGTGGATGGTCTGCAAAGCAGTGCCATGGCCAAGCGGCAGGGCTGTGAACCCTCCGTCTTCAAGCGGGGCATCTGGAACTACATCCACTGCATGTTTGGCATTAGGTAGGGTAACCAACCTCGCAGTCCAGGGCAGAAAATCGAGCTGACCCAGGCGGGAGGAGGGTAGGGCACTCAGGCTGTCTCATAGATGTGCTTGGAAAAGAGCCAGAGGTGAACGGCCTGCCCTGCTCGGATGTTGGGCCAGCCAGGGAAGAGATGCTGAGCTTCTCTGGCCAGGGCAGGGTGCTTTGGGGATGGGGGCTTCAGTGCGTGGTGGCCGCTGCCATGTGTCCCCCTGCTCCGCAGCTGTGCCGTGCCTTGGGCAGACCATGGGCAAGGTGCTCCACAGGGACACGGTGCTGGCCGTGACTCGCCCCTGTGCTCCCCGCAGGTATGATGACTACGACTACGCAGAAGTGAATCAGCTCCTAGAGCGAATGCTCAAAGTTTACATTAAGACTGTAACCTGCTACCCAGAGAAGACAAACTCAGAAATGTTTGACAGGTTCTGGAAGCAGTTCAAGCACAGTGAAAAGGTGGGACAGCTCTGACCAGCTGTCGGTGGGGCTTGGAGCGGGCAGGGGCTGCAGACTGGAGTGCTTTGGGGGGTGTATGAGCCACCAAACCAGTCTGAGCCAGGCGGGGGTGGAAAATAGAAACTGTTTGTAAGGAGTTGGGCTTAGCGTGGTGAGGGTCTGCCCGCAGTGTGATGAACACATGAGCCACCGGCAGCATGGAGATCTCCAAGGCCATTACTCCGTTGGTGAGGGCCTCCAGGTGAGCCCTTGGTCCAGCCGTAACTTGCGGGAGAGGCTGCTGTGGGTGGCAGGGACTGTGCCGGTGCCAGCCTGGCGTGCTGGGGCCAAGTGTGCTGGGGGCTCCCCAGCCTGCGGGACTAGGAGGAGGGGGAACAGGCAGCTGCCTGTGCTGGAAAAATTGGTAGCATTTTTTCCCCCATGTCAAAAGACTCACTGGCTCTGGTGGGTGCTTGTTTCCACCGCTGCCCGCAGCATACTGCAGCTACCTGACCCTCTCTTGCGTCTCCCTTAGGTCCATGTGAACCTGCTCATCCTGGAAGCCCGAATGCAGGCAGAGCTGCTGTACGCCTTGCAGGCCATCACCCAGTACATGATCTCCTAGATGGTGGGGAGCTGTGCTGCGGCAGGGCCGGGCAGCATCTTCACTCCCTGGACTCGCGTGTGACCCATCATACTGGGACGGATGGCAAGGGATTACTCAATTTAGTTTACTTGACTGTCTTGTTCCTTCCCCCCCACCCCCCACCTTGTGGGGCTCACTGACTGGCCCCGTTACGTGCAATTACCAAACTGTGAGGCAAGTCCGTGCTGCTGAGACGTTGGGGTGATGCTGGCGACTTGAACGTGTCTGAGGAGGACTGCCAAAGACATGGCAGGGGAGGGAGGGGGGTTTTTTTTTACAGGTATGCTCCTTGCCTGGGCGCTGCGGGAGCCTCGGCTACTGCAGGGAGGGCAGAAGGGAGAGCGGGCTTCCTTCCCTGTGCTGCAGCAGCTGCCCTGCTTGCAAGCCACCCTTTGGTGCCCGGCCTCGTTGGGGTGATGCATCTCGCTTGGGAACAGTGCGGGCAGCTCGTGAGTGCGCTGCAATGTCCTGAGTTGCATGGGAGTCAGGCAGGGAGGAGTGCTGGCTCCAAGAAAGAGCCCTTCCCCAGGCTGGGATGGGAAGGGGATGCGCTTGCTGCGTACACGTCCTGCCCTTTAGGTCTATGTGCCAAACCCCTCTGGGATGGACAAGCACTGACCCAGGTGAACTCCAAACTGTGAAGCTCTTGCTTCAGAGTAGTGCTTTGCCTTCTCTGACAGCGGTGTGAGGAGGTCTCTCACAGTGTTCAGGCTCTGGAGGTTCCTGCAGAGGACTTTGGGCAGTCCTTGGGGAGCTTGCCCCAATGCCCCTCCTCTGCCTCCCATCAGCAGAGGGGCAGGAGGAACAAGGGAGGCTTCCTGAGTTAAGGTGGCTTGTATCTTCTTACCACCATGAGAGGGCTGAGGTCCTGTGCCCAGTCACTTGCTGCTTAACTGTGGGCAGGAGCGTGCACCACTGCACCCCTGTCCCAGGGCTGCTCCCTGCCTGTGCCACAACCCCTGGCTGAGGAGGTACAAGGGATCTGGCGCAGGCTCCAGAGAGCAGCCACGAAGGGCAGTGAGGCTCCGGTGATGAGTGGGAGCCTGAAGCAGGGGCAGCTGTCGTCAGCCCAGCGCACGCTGCTTCAGTTGACCTGTTTACTGCGTAAATGTACGGGGAGAAAACCTTGTGTACGGAAGCTACAGAAAAAGCCTATTTTTGCTATAAATATATTATGTTTGACATGGATGCGTGCTTTATTTCTGCCAGATGTTGGGAAGGGGATCCAAATTTACACGGCTGTTCTGCAGGCAGGATGGAGTGCCTGGCTGACCGGAGCCCTGAGATGGCTCCAGCTCCAGGAAACCCAATGCTCCCAGTTTGTGACAGGGTCCCGCACTGACAGCTCTGGTCCAGGGCCAGCAGCTGGTCACTGAGGCTGGACCCGTCCTGTTCAGCTCAGCTGGGTCCTCTTCCCATGCTCAGATAAGCAACTCCCACAGCATTGCATGTTGAACAGGAAAAGAGGGAAGGTTTTCAAGGGGCTGCAGTGCTCCGGCAAGGAGGAGGGTGCCGGAGGAAGGAGCTGGCTTCTCTCCTGCCAGGCACCTGGCCATGGGTGGGCAAGGTGTGGGTGCTGCTTCTGTGCCTGAGGAAGAAGCATTTTGCTTGCACTCACAAGCAGGTGCTCAGTGAGCAAGGCCAGAAACCAGGACCAGCTCTTTTCCCAGCCACACTGCAGGTGCCCTCCCAGCAGCACACTGCGCTGGGGCTGGGCCAGCTTGTACTGGGCCAAGCTGGTACCCAGGCAGTAAAACGCCAGCACAACTGGTGCTGGGCAGTACTGGCCGAGTCAGTACTGGTGCCAGGACAGAGGCACCAGTGCCAGGACGACTGGTGGTGGGACAGCTGCCGCCAGACTTGGCTCAACAGTAGTGGGACAGGCACTGCTGTACCACCATTTGGGCACAGATTGGGGAAGCTGGGTGTCCTACTCACCATCAGGCGTAGCACTCTGATCAACTGTAGCTGCCTGCCGGGCGGTTTGCCAGCCTTTCCCCTGCCCCTGCAAAAGCAGCTCTGTCCCCTGCAGGGCTGGGATGCGCCGCAGCAGCCAGTTATCCGCAGGGCTCATCGCTCCCAGAGCAAGCCGTGTATCTGCAGCTCTGTGCTCCCACCATGCTGCCAGCAGCATCCTCCTCCTCCCCACTCGCCATTACCCTGTGCTGCGGGGGAGAGAGAAGGGAGAAGGCAGCGAGAGCACGGTGCTGGCTGGGGCAAAGGGCTGCCTGTCGCCAGGAGACATGAGGCAGGTTCCCTTTTGTCCCCCATCTCTCTCTCTGCACAGAGCGGGTCTTGCAGGAGCTGCAGCACCTGCTGCTTGCTCTGGCTTGCAGAACAAGCACGGTCACAGCAGCAAAGATGAAGGGCTCCCTGGGCTGTCAGCTCTGACCAGAGATGAGCACAGCTCCTGGCAAGGCCAGGGGACACTGCCAGCCTCAGCTCCCTGAAAAGAAGAAAACATCCCCACATGAGCTGAGCTAGAAAGCAAGAGATGAAGCAAACATCTACTCCCATCCCTGCAGAGCCAGCAGAGTTACTATCATGTCCCAAAGAGGTCCTGCAGCAGATAACTCAAGCATGGGGGATTATGTCAGTGGAGAAGCCTGTAAGCGTCTTGTTGACCAGACATTTCAGGGCAGTTTTACACCCACACCAGTAACTACAGCTTAGCTTTTGAAACCCATGAGCTGGTCCTTCACCTTATCAGCACCCCCGGCTCCTCTCCTGTGCCTGGCCAGGCTGTGAAGCTATTGCACTCACTGAGGCCCAGGCTTTAAGTCTTCCTGGGAAGGGCAGCGCAGGCATCACACCATTTGAGGTAAGCAGATGACTCTAAGCCACACAGCATGCCGCAAGTCTGGCAACTTCAATATGCTTGCGACCCTGCCCTGGTGCCCCCTGCACCCTTCATCTGCTCAGACTAGGATATTCCTCCCTATTGCTCTGCGGCCAGAAGGAGGAGAGCTGCCAGAGCCCAGGATACCTCTCCTCTGCAGGAACCCTCCAGGATGTCCAGCACACCCACGTGGGAGCCAGGCCACTGTGACCTTACCTGGAATTACTGAGGAGAGGATGCAGGCACACGTCCAAAGCACTCACCAAGTTTCTTGCAACAGCCTGTAGCAGAAAGGTGTGCTGGCAGGTGCAGCCAGGACCGCTTTTGTAACAGCTGAGCCGTCCCCAAACTGCACAGTGAGAGGAATGGTGTGTCCTAGCCTGCAGAGAACAGCGAGCTGTGCTGCAATGGTTACTGCCACAGCTCCTACAACCCACCCATTAAAAGCCAGGCCTATGGCTGCTGGTCTTACCACAGCAGTGGAGCACGAAAAAAAAAAAGTACATGGGAGCTGGGGACAGGCTGTCCTGCCAGGACAGCTCTGGAGCAGGCAGGGTGCACCCCACCATCTCCCCATTCCCAAGCCTGCCTTCCCCATGCACCAGCTACTCCACCACAAAAGCCACATGAAGTAGGGCAACAGACTTCCCCCCTATGCTTTCACACGTGGTCCCATCACCAGCGGTGCAGGAGACGTGTTCATCAACCAGCAAGCAACCCGGGCAAAGCAGGTCTCTGGCCGGAAACTAAGCTGAGCAGAAAAGCTGGTGAAGTTTTTGCACTGGCTTCAAATGCTGCTCCCCAGGCAACTACTCCTTAGGCCAAAATGCTTATGGTGACAACTCAGGACAGCCACAAGGTCTCCAAGACTGCAAGAAAGTCCGACCTACTGCAAGCAAGGTGCACTGAACCCACATAGCTGTTCGGACAGGAGGACTCCTGGTGTCTACTGCAGTGTCCCACACATCAAAAGCAACCCTGAGCCAAGGCATCCAGGTCCCAGCCTAGCATCTATTCTGTGCTTTGCTCTCCTTGGCAATGCTTCAGTGTCACAGACTGATGCTCAAATCCACATAAAAACTGTTAATGGCTGCTGGGGGGGAATGCATGGCCCCATTCTGTTAAGTTTTGAAAGTATCCACCCTCAGCATTTTGTTTCTCCAACAGCACCTACCTTTATGAGCTTGCAGGAAGCCCTACGAAGTGCCCAAGGAACAGATGAGGGACAGACAGTTCCCCTAAGGAACTCCTCCTAATCCCCCACTTTTGGGCATTGGCTCAAATTTTGGAGCAGGAGCCTTAAGACTCCTTCCAGAGTTATTTGCATTAACTGTTTTAACACTATTATTTTTCAATGGTATTCTTTATCAGATATTATTGAATACTGAGTATCCAAAACTTTGAATGCAAGTTTTCTGGCCATACGTATACAATTTCACAAATGAGTCTTTCTCCTCAGTAGTTTTTAAAACATCCCCAACTTGCTCTCCATGCGTCTACCCAGGCCAGTGGAATCCATACTCTACACTCATTCCCCCCATTCCTCTCTCATCTCCTTACCCGCCTCCACTCCAAGGCAATGTGACCGAGGCTCTGAACTGGTCTCATCTCCTGCAAGACTTCTGAGCTGTGATGCACAGAGCATCCCCAAGGCAGAGGGGGGCAGGACATTGTCCAGCTTCATCCCACCTGTGAGAAGGCAGACCTGCTGGAACGACATGCTGTTTTGATTCAAGGGCTCCACCATGTTCCTCACAAGCTGCTTCACTGGTTCACTGTTTCTGCATTCCTACTTGCTTTACATCAAAGAAGGACCTTAAGGTACCTAGCTGAAGCCTTCTCCTGCCCAAAGAGGCCTCTTAGCCAGTCGCACACCTTTGAGCAGTCCCAAGGAATGACCAGCTCCTGGCTTCCACTCCGACATTCATGCTCCCGTTGATGGGGAGCACCAAGCCCTCATCTTCTATATATAAAAAATGGTCCCCATTGTAGTAACCTCCTTTTTTTTTTCTCTGATGGAGGATTTGGGGTATGCAAGCAAAGATAAAAGCTCACTCACATGCTCATCTGTTCTAATTAAGCATCAGCACCTGCTTGTGGGTGGGGTGGCTGAAAAATCCATCTCTCTGTTCCAGGAGAGAACTGGTAGATTTGCTGACACTCGCAGATGTTTGAATGTAGCTATATAAAATGGAGTCATCTACACTCAGGTCTAGAAGGGCAAGGAATGAAGGGGCTAGTGTGACTCTAGACTAGTCCTGCAGAAGTTAAAACTCCCCAGGGTCAGTTTTAGGGCTTGGCAACCCCATGTGTCCCCACACACTGCTGGCAAGTTATAA